CAGTAATGGAGCTCTAAAGGTAAGTCTTATATTCACTTCCCTACCCTGCTTCTCCAGCACCTGGAATTCTTGCTTCATTTTCCTGAGTATGGGGAAGGAGTGGTTAGAGGTAGTCCCTTTGTTCTCTGATCCAGAGACTCAGTCTGCAGGTGCTGACCTGGGAGAAGGAGTCAAGGGGCCCTGATACTAGGTTATACTGTTGCTGGTTTGGTACTGCGTTTCAAGTGGAAGGTTTGGATTTAATTCCTTCTCCTTCCCCTTAGCAGGATCACCTCTCTCCAAGTTGTGCTGCCTGGAGTTGGGGCAGGGGTGATATCAGGAAACTTTCTTTCTTGCCTTCTTCAATGTGTCTTGTCTCATTATGCTAAAATCAGGAACTGTGTTCTCTCACCTGACTTCCTTAGCTCTTGTGAAGGTTGTTTGTTACGTGAATATGTGTTCAAATTGGTGTTTATGTGAGGAGACAATCAAACCTTACTCAGCTGCCATCTTATTCTGTCCACTTGTTTCTAGCTTTTGATTTAAAGTGGAAATGTGCAGCTCTTCCTTTCACTTGAACACTAGAGGCCATTGTGGGGTTATTAGCCTACTTTAATATTGTGTGTCTTGAAGATTAGAGAGGCCTGGTGAGAAAGACAAAGCTTAGTGAGTTGGTGGAACAATCAGAACACATACAGCATTTTTTTTTATTTAAAGATGTATTTATTTGAAAGTCAGAGTTACACAGAGGGAGGGAGGGAGAGACAGAGAAAGAGATCTTCCATCTCCTTGTTCACTCCCAATTGGCTGCAATGGCCGGAGCTGCGCCGATCCGAAGCCAAGAGCCAGGAGCTTCTTCCGGGTCTCCCATGTGGATGCAGGGGCCCAAGGACTTGGGCCATCCTCCACTGCCCTCCCAGGCCACAGCAGAGAGCTGGGTCGGAAGTGGAGCAGCCGGGTCTCAAACTGGCACCCATATGGAATGCTGGCACTGCAGGCCAGGGTGTTAACCTGCTATGCCACAGTGCCAGCGCGCCCCCCCCCCCCCAGCATTAAGTTTGCTCTCTTATATGGGTATAATTTATGGTACCCTAAAACAATTATAGGTGTACATCAAAGATCTTCATTTATATATCTGATTAGTATTGATCTTTCATTGGAAAGGCAGAGAAACAGCAACTGATTCACTTTCTAAATGCTAGCAATAGCCAGGCTGAAGCTTGTAAATAGCACATAATTCTGGGTCTCCCGTGAGGGTAGTAGGGGGACCCAACTATTTGAGCCACCATTTTCTGCCTCCCAGGGTGCACATTAGCAAGAAGTTGGAATTGGAAACAACGGATGGAAACAAAGCCAGTATTTGAGCCCAGGCACTGAGTGCGGGATGTGGTGTTCCCAAGCACCATCTCAACCTCTGTGTCAAACACCTGCCCCACATCAAATATCTTTGCTCAGAGCTCATCATAACATAGTAATAGAAGAGTTTTAAATATTATGAGAATTGCCAAAATGTGATACAGAGAAATGAAGTGAATGCATACTATTGTGAAAGGGGCTCTGATAGACTTGCTTGATGCAGATTTGCCACAGACTTCTTTGAGAGACAGGGAGGGAAGGAGGGGAGGGGTGAGGGGGAGGGGAGAAGACAGATGCCTACAACAGCTGGGACTTGGGCAAGCTAATGGAAGGAGCTGGAACTCAATCCAGGTCTCCCACATGGGTGGCAGGAACCTAGTTATTTGAACCATCACCACTGCCTCCCAAGGGCTGCATTAGCAGGAAGCTGAAGTCAGAATCAGTGCCAGCCCGCATGGGAGACCAGGAGGAAGCACCTGGCTCCTGGCTTTGGATCGGCGCAGCGCCAGCCTTGGCTGCCATTTGGGGGGTGAACCAACGGAAGGAAGACCTTTCTCTCTGTCTCTCTCTCACTGTCTAACTCTGCCTGTCCAAAAAAAAAAAAAATCAGTGCCAGGTGTTGAACTCCAGTACTCTATTATGGGATCACAAGTATCTTAACCTATGCCCGCCCAAATATAAACCTCACAATTTGTAAAAAAAAAAAAAAATCCAAATATCCACCAAAGCAGTCAAGCACAATGAAATAAAATGAGATGTGCCTATTCCCAGGATACTTACTAATTGGAGTAACACTTATTTCTTTGGGTGATTTATTTTAGTCATTACTGTAAGGTATTATGATCTTATCCAGTAAGGTAAAAATTATAGTGGAACCCATTGTATTTGCCCAGAAATTGTAACCTATCCTCTGTATTGAGATTGCTTATCTATCTAGCTGCAATATTTGCAAGGATTTTTTTAGTTCAGATGTCCTCTACATTTTGGTAACCATTGTAGACATTGTGTGCAACCTATAGAAGTATAGAATTCTCTAAATGAGTGATGATTTACCAGTTGGCTAATTGTTAAAAGGAATGTATTCAACATTTGTTTGATCAGCTATGTGTCAGTAGTTACCAAGACTTACCCCCAGGTTCACTAGAAAACCTCACACACAGGACTCAGGATATAATCATATTCAGTATTATTATTTAATACAATAAAAAGACACAAAGAAAAAGAAAAATGAGGTAAAGTTGGGTGCAAACCAAGTAAAACCTTACAAGAGTCCTCTGCCTGTGGAAAGCATGCTAGTTTGGGCTCTATTTGGTGCTCAGTCACAATGAGTCACATTATTTGTGAAGTTTTCACTGTAAAAGATGCTCGTTATAGACTAAGTTCCCAAGTTTTTTACTGGGGGCTCTTCATGTAGACGCTGTCTGTTGGCTCATTCTAAATTCCAGATTCCCACAGGGAACATTGGGTGTTCAGAATAAACCACATTGTACAAACAGTGAACCACTGTTGTCAGGAGTTTTCTTATCAATACTGGGGACTCTACCATTTGTGTTCTCAGAAAGCAGCAAAGGGCCAACAATTGCAAGGAGGCTTTTCTGATATGATGAAATTTGAGCTGACTCTTAAAGGTTAGTAAGGGTTGAATAGATTTTTTTTCCTGGCAAAGGAGGAGAGAACATTAAGGAATTAATTCAAGGAAAAGTATGGATCATAAAAGTATTTGGCATCTTTAAGCACTAGTTCATTGTGGCTTGAATATATATGTAGTGAATTGTCTAAAAATAATAGAAATCTCTAGAGCCCAGACACAAAGCGGGAACTGATAAACAATAGGTTGAAGAAGATGTGCTGTGGAATTCTTAGAGTTACCCTACTCTTGAGACTAGCACTTGTTGATTTCCATCTACCCTGGGGTCAGTATATAAATCATCAAGCCTCATTTAGTTCTTAGAATCCTTTGTTAAAGCTAAATCATTTATTTAAGATTTATTTATTTATTTGAAAGGCAGAGTTAGAGAGAGAGAGAGATAGAGAAGAGTAGACAGACAGAGATCTTCTATCTGCTGGTTCACTCCCCAGATAGCCACAATGACTGGGGCTGAACTAGGCTGAAGCCAGGAGTCAAGAGCTTCCTCTAGGTCTCCCCATGGGGACAGGAACCCAAGATCTTGGACCATTTTCTGCTGCTTTTCCAGGCACATTAGTAGGGAACTGGATCAGAAGTGTAACAGCTGTTACTCGAACTGGTGCCCATATAGAATTCCGACGTTGCAGGCCATGACTTTAACCTTTACACTGTGCAACAACGCTGGACCCACTGAATCTTTTTTTTTTCTTTATAAACTTTTTTTGTCGAGGGTTGCTGAATCCTTTTTTTTTTGTTTGTTTGTTTTTTTTTTAAAGATTTATTTATTTATTTGAAAGTCAGAGTTACACAGAGAAAGAAGGAAAGGCGGGGGATGGGGGGGGTCTTCCATCCGATGATTCACTCTTCAATTGGCTGCAATGGCAGGAGCCGCACTGATCTGAAGCCAGGAGCCAGGATCTTCCTTTGGGTCTTACCACGCAGGTGCAGGGGCCCAAGGACTGGGACCATCTTGTATTGCTTTCCCAGGCCACAGCAGAGAGCTGGACTGGAAGCAGAGCAGCCAGGACTCGAACTGGCGCCCATATGGGATATAGGCAGTGGCTTTGCCCACTACGCCACAGTGTGGGCCCCTAACATGATATTTTAAAAATTTTAAATATAACTTGGTGCCAGACAATTTACAACTTAAATGGACATTATTTGATGAAAGTATAACTCAACAAAATTGAATATTCATTGAAGTTATTTCATAGTAGCCAAAAATAAAAAGAATCCAGATGTTTGTGAGCAGGAGAATAAAGTGGGGTATATTCATGTGATGACTTAAAAATGTTTTATAACAAAATTACTACTTTTTAACTACATTGCCTTCAAAAGCTACTGCTTAAATTATATTTAAACAAATAAAACCTATATATTGCTAATTTTTTATCTCACTGTATTTGATTCTTTAATGGATTATTTTGTGCTGCTTTCTTTTTATAGTCAAAAGTTTGAGGAAAAATCAGAAAATAATTTAATGTAATAAAGTGATTCTAAGAGCAATCCTTATTTGTGTTTTCTAGGATTTTGGTAGCGTGGTGAAATGTTTTCTTACCCCAAAGTCTTTTTCCCTATTGATCTCTGAGTCTCTCTGCTTCTCTCAGATGCTCTTGTTTCTTGTCTGCTGGGGTGTGCTTGGAAAGGGGGGAGTTTTACTCATTTTAGACTGAGAGAATTTCTCTCTGGGGCCTCTTGTCTTTCTGAGCTCCCCATCCTATCTGCAGAATCTATCTCTCATACTTCGATTCTCTGAAGTCTGTCTCTTGCTTATGCTCACTTTGTGTTTATCCCAAAGGCTTCCCTTGTTTCCCACTTTGTGCCTTTCTATGTCAATGTAGATTGCTCTCTCTTACCATGGTTTTTCTGCATGGGTGCCTGCTTGTGTGTCTGTCTATTTTTCTGTCCCCGCACCCAAGTCCCGGTCATTCTGTTTTTCTTACTCTATCCTTGCATTGGTCCTTTTCTGCCTTCATCGGCATCATTTGCTTTCTTTCCTAATATACCTACTTATGTATGTTCCATTTATTTTATTTAGGTAAAGCTACTTCCTCTTCTAATCCAAGCAGCCCAGCTCCAGATTGGTACAAAGATTTTGTTACAGATGCTGATGCTGAGATTTTAGAACATTCTGGAAAAATGGTACTTCTCTTTGAAATTCTTCGGATGGCAGAGGAAATTGGAGATAAAGTGTAAGTTCTTTCTTATATTTATTATTTGAGCAGACTCTTTGATAACCTTTCTGTTGTTTAAACAATATATTTGAACAAATTTATGTTTTCTTCTTAGCCAAAGATGTAATTTCTTTGATTACTATAGTGCTAGGCCAATAGAAACAGCCACCTTCTTCATAAGCTGCATATTCAAATTATTTTCTTCAGTCCTGTTTTCCACTTAGAGCTACTGCACCTTTAACTTAATTCCTTCAGGCAAGCTTTCAGTTGTTATCTATGATTTGCCATCTTCAAATCTGGTGAACATCTGTTAGAGACTTAATTTAATAACCTCTTTGAGTATTCCTCATTTCTCCTTTGTCTTTTGTTCATGCTTGTTTTACTGATACCATTTGTTCCATCTTTCTGTTCTCTACATCTCCTTCCCTAATCTTAACGTATATTTTATAAAACATTTTCATAAAAAATAGTTGCAATGCGGTTTTTTTCAAGATTATTTACTTATTTGAAAGGCAGAGACGAGGGAGAGAGAATCTTCTGTCTGCTGGTTCACTCCCCAAATGGTCACAATGTCCTGGGCTGGGCCAAGTCAGAGCCATGAGCTTCTTCAGGTCTCCCATATGGATGTAGGAGTCCGAGGATTTGGGCCATCTGGTATTTGGGCAATCTTATGCTGTTTTCCCAGGCACATTAGCAGGGAGTTGGATCAGAAGTGGAGCAGCTAGGACTCGAACTTGCATCCATATGGGATGCCAGCATTGCAGGTGGAGGCTTAACCTTCTAGGCTGCAGCACTGGCCCCTGTAATACTTTTTAATAATAATTAACAGAAGGCTAAAATAATCTTTTATCTGGAAAAAAAAACAAATTTAATTCCTTTAACTCTCTGTAAAGAGGCAGACCTTCAGTTACATACCTATACTGCATTTTAATAAACTCCTAACACTTTCTAGCAGGTTTGTCTTTTTATGGAATAGTAAGCTATTTGAAGACTCAGACTATTTTATTGCCTACTGTACTTGGCACCTAGGTAAGTGCTCACTAAAAGTTATATTGTTTGCACATTGCTGCTTTATTTATACAAAATCAAATGGTTCAAGTACAGGATAATATTGACTTAGAGTGGTACTAGTGAAATTAAAGGCTATGTTTTGGGGTAGAAATAAGACTTGATAGAGTAAATACAGGGCAGTAAGGAGAATACAGTTGAAGAATGATTCTAGGCTACTAGCTTAAGTGGCTGGTGGATTATAGTATTATTTATTTCGGAGAAGATTAGAGAGGAGCTAACACAGAGCTCTGCTCTAGCTGTGTTAAGTTTGAGATGCCTGTTAGGTGAGGGATGTCAAGTAGGAAGTGGATATTTGTGTGCAGAGTTCTGCAAATGTCTGAAGAGACTATTGTTGTAGAGGTGCTTTTTCTGTGATCAACTTCTGTGGTTTAAAATTGAGTTTTAGGGGAAGGCACTTACTTGGCTTAGTGCTTAAGAGTTCAATACCACATATCAGAGTGCATGAGTTCAATACCCAACTCTGCTCTGACTGCAGCTTACTGTTAATACAAACCCTGGGAGGCAGTGATGGTGTCTCAAGATATCAAGTGGATTCCTACCTTTCATATGGGTGAAGTGGATTGAGTTCCTGCCTCCTGGCTCCTGTTTTATCCTGCCCCAGCCCCAGTTATTGTGGGTACTTGAGTGTGGGGGTATGTGGGTAGGTAGAATGAACCAGAGGATAGGAGTTTTCTCTGTTTGCCTCTCTCTCTCTCAAATAGATAAATTAATAGCTTTTAAAGAAATTTCTGAATATAAAAAGTTAATTTTTGAGTATCAGAATTCTAAGAATATAGGAGGGTTTTAGTGGGCTTTTCCTACTCACTGCAGGAATTTCTTCTACTATGTTCATTTTAGATGTCCTCCTATTTTTATGTCCTCCTGTTTTATGATGGTTGAATTACTTTGAATTGTTAGTTTAGAAAATAAGTTAAGACATAGACCTTGGTTGTCAGAGTACCAGGGTCAATTCATTTCCTTACCAGTATACTGGGAGTTGGCAGCTTGGAATAGTACACTGAAGCAGGGCAGAGTTCAGGATGCCATACAATAAAATATGCATGCATGATTAACTCTAGGAGCTGTTTCATAGCTTCACTTACTCTTTTTAGTTCTACTAAATTTGAGGACATCTAAGAGTGTGTACTGAAGAAACTTCTGGAGTTATAAGCACCTCTCTTTCTTCTCTAGTACAGCTTTTAGAATCAAAACAACATTTAAAGGAAGCATGCTTGCCACAGTTATATGGTTTTTATATACCTTTTCTAACCTAAAATTTTTGTATATAGATGGGAGAGGAGACTCTCCTACATTCTTTTTAGATCCCCGCACCACCCCACCATTTCTCAGAGCAGTGGTTTTCAAACTACTAGAGTCCTGCAAGTTGTGTGACCTAGAGCAGAGAGAGGGTAAAGGATCAGAGACACTTTTCCTTCTTCTCACACAATTCTAGTCTACTTATTAAAGAAAAATTGCTAATACAGTAGTTTTTGTTGCAATCATGGGATAAGTTAAAATTATTTTAAGCAACTGGTTTTTATTACTTATTTTACTTCCACATAAAAGTTTATGTGAACAAATAGTTTCACATAGTTTTCGCATGGCTAAAAAGGATTCTCTACTAGGCTAGTGAATCAGGAATTTTCAGACATAGTTGGAATGGAATGACAAAGTGCAGAATGCACATCATTTTGAATTGCTTGAATGCTTTCAGTAGGAAGAATTTTATTTGAATTTTCTAATCAATATATTAGGCAGAGCAAAAGTTTGTAATTTTGAGAAAGTTGAATTCTATCAAGTTTTTTTCTATACTTTGTGTCTTGTATAAGGAATTGTTTGCCTAATCCTGTTATGAAAATTTTCTTTTATGTGTTCTTCTAAACTTTATACAGTTTTTCCACTTAGGTTTAGTCTCAATTTTGAGTTTATTTTTGTATAAAGCATGAGGTTTAGACCAGAGTTCATTGTTTTGTATATGGATATTCCTTTATCTTTTTCAAAGTTGTATTGCCCCAACTGTGCTTGCTATTGTTATTTAAATTTTACAACCAATTTGTTAATTTCTATAAAATAATAATAATATTTTGGTTTTTATTACAATTGTATTAAATTTGAGATTGATTTAGAAAGTAGTGATATCTTTACTAATCCATGAACACTAATCTGTTTTTTAGCCTTGTTTTCAGCCAGTCTCTCATATCTCTGGATTTGATAGAAGATTTTCTTGAATTGGCTAGTAGAGAGAAAACAGAAGATAAAGATAAACCCCTTATTTATAAAGGTAAGTTACAAACATTTGTATATCATAATTTTATTTTTTTAAAGTCTCATTTTATTTTTTTTAGATGGGATGATATTCTCCCCCCACCCGAAACCTTTGAGAATACAAACTTCATACATTTCATAATTACAAGTTTATTTTTTTGTAATTACAACTTTAGGAACGTGGTGATTCTTTCCATCATATGCACCTTCCCACCCCTCTTCCTCTTCCCTCTCCTATTCCCATTTTTAGTTTTTACTCAGAAGTATTTTTTATTAACTTTATACACATGATTTTTTTTTTTTTTTTGCCAGGCAGAGTTAGTGAGAGAGAGACAGAGAGAAAGGTCTTCCTTCCGTTGGTTCACCCCCAAAATGGCCGCTACGGCCGGTGCGCTGCGCCGATCTGAAGCCAGGAGCCAGGTGCTTCCTCCTGGTCTCCCATGTGGGCGCAGGGCCCCAGGACTTGTGGCCCAGGAAGGCAGTGGAGGATGGCCCAGCAGAGAGCTGGACTGGAAGAGGAGCAACCGGGATAGAATCTGGCGCAGCAACTGGGACTAGAACCCGGGGTGCCGGCGCTGCAGGCGGAGGATTAGCCAAGTGAACCGTGGCGCTGGCCTACACATGATTTATTTATTTGAAAGGAAAGTGAGAGAGAGAAAGAAAGAGAGAGAGAGAGAAAGAAAGAGAGAAAGAGTAAGTCTTCCATCCGCTGGTTCATTCTCCAGTTGGCTGCAGGCTGGAACTGTGAAGATCCGAAGCCAGGAGCCAGAAGTTTCTTCTGGGTCTCCCATGTGGGTGCAGGGGCCCAAGCACTTGGGCCATCTTGTACTGCTATCCTAGGCCATAGCTGAGAGCTGGATCGGAAGTGGAGCAGCTGGAACTAGAACCAGTGCCCATATAGGGTGTAGGCACTTCAGGCCAGGGCGTTAGCCACTGAGCCATGGTGCCGGCCCTATACACATGATTTTTTATAGAAAGCTTTTATTTAATAACTATAAATTTCATAGGTACGACTTTTGGATTATAGTGGTTCTTCCTCCCATACCCGCCTTCCCACCTCCACTCCGTTCCCACCTGCTACTCCCTCTCCTATCCCATTCTTCATTAAGATTCATTTTTAATTATCATTATATATAGAAGATCAACTCTATAATAAGTAAAGATTTCAACAGTTTGCACCCATACAGACACACAAAATATAAAGTACTGTTTGGAGACTCGTTTTACTTTTAATTCTCATAGTACAACTCATTAAGGACAGAGGTCCTACATGGGGAACAAGTGCACAGTGACTCCTGTTGTTGATTTAACAATTGACACTCTTATTGATGACATCCGCCAGTGATCACCCGAGGCTCTTGACATGAGTGGGTCTCCCACATAGGTGAAGGGACTTGGGCCATCTTGTACTGCTTTCCCAGGCCATAACAGAGAGCTGGATCGGAAGAGGAGCAGCTGGGACTAGAACTGGTGCCCATGTAGGATGCTGGCACTGCAGGCTGGGGATTTAACCTGTTGCACCACAGCCCTGCCCTGAAAGAAATTATCCTTATATGGACATCTGTACTTTTTTTGCATGGGGAATAATGCCATAATGATAAATTTTTTCATGTGCTCCTTACAATTCAGTGCTGGTTATACGTTGAGAATTTTTTTAACTTAATATTTTATTGATTATTTTTGAGATAACATTTTAAATTTACATTTTAGTCAAAGGCTTAATGCTCCACTAAATCAACAGTTCAAAGAAAAGTTAAAAAATCAGTTCAGTAGGAAAATGGACAAAGGCTATAAACAATAATCAAATGAAAAAATGTTCAACTTCATTATATAGTAAGTTTTTAAATAATCACAGTTACTAGTAGTATATATTAGTATATATATATACTATATATAGTAGTATATAATTCTTAAGGATGTATTTGACAACGATTTAAATGAAATTTTTAAAAGATTTATTTATTCATTTAAGAGCATTGACAGAGAGAGGGAGGGAGAGAGAGAGAGAGGTGTTTTCCATCTACTGGTTCACTTCCCAGATGGCTACAATGGCCGGAACTTCGCCGATGTGAAACCAGGAGCCAGGAGCTTCTTCTGGGTATTCCACTTAGCTGAAGGGACCCCAGGACTTGGGCCATCTTCCTTCCACTGCTTTCCCAGGCCATAGGAGAGAGGTGCATCGGAAGTGGAGCAGCTGGAAATTCAATCAGTGCCCATATGTGATGCTGGCTCAGCAGGCGGCGGCTTTACCCACTTCGCTACAGCGACGGCCCCTAAAAGAAATTTTGAGAAAACACTATATTTCTAATAAAACTGATCATTCTCATTCTTCCCCTTTCTTTGTTTCTAGGCTCCCTTCTTATTGGTATACTTTTAACATATATATGTATAGTATGTATGTATATTTTTTATTTGACTATAAATATAGTCAGTTTAAACATATTTTATCGTGTGTTTTTATAACATTAAAAACAATACAGTTCATTAAAACAAAGTTCAAGTTTATGCATATTTTAAATAATGCCTTTGAGGCGTTAGCACCTTGACATACTAGATGAAGCCTCCGCCTGGCTGTTCCACGTCTGATCCAGCTCCCTGCTAATGGCTGGAAAAAGGAAAATGATTCATGTCCTTGGGCCCCTGCATCCATATGAGAGACCTGGAGGAAGCTCCTGGCTCCTGGCTTCAGATCGGCCCAGTTCTGGCCGTTTCGGGCTTTTGGGGAGTGAATCAGCAGGTGGAAGACCCCTCTCTCTGTCTCTCTTTCTGTCTGTAATTCTTCCTCTCAGATAAATAAATAAATCTTATATATAAAAAAATCCCTTATTGGGAAACGCTGCCACCTGCAGTGCCGGCACCGCACATGGGCACCAGTTCGGGTTACAGTTGCTCTGCTTCTGATCCAGCTCTCTGCTATGGTCTGGGAAAGCAGTAGAAGATTGGGCCACTGTACCCGCATGGGAGACCTGGAAGAAACTCTTCGTTCCTGGCTTTGGATCGGCCCAGTAAATGGAATACCTCTTGTTCGCTCCCTCGCTCGCTCGTTCTCTCTCTGCCTCTGCCTCTCTGTAACTCTACCTTTCAAATAAATAAATAAATCTTTAAATTCAAAAAAGGAAAAAGAATAATGCCTTTGAAAATCCAGCATATGCCCCTTGGCTAACATGGAGATTACAAGCCCTCAAGAAGCAATTATTTTGTTGTATAGATCCTAGAGTTTAGCATTCTTCATTTTGAAAGACTGAGGCTAATTATTTAGTACATGTTGGTTTGAAATACATTTACAACCCGTCAGAGAAGAGTTTTCATTGTTCTCTGATACCTGTATCAGTAAGTATTAATTTTATCACTCAGATTTTATGTTCTGGTAGTGTTTGATTATCTGCAAGCCTGTATTAAATAATTTATATTGATTTACTTCAAGTCAATGGAAAATGCATTTTAATATATTCTTATAGAACTATAATTGTATTTTCTCTATCATTAATGGATAAAAACACTTGTCTTTGTTTTTCATTAATAATAATAAATGATTTTCAGAAAGGGTCACACAGCATACCTAGCTGTATATGATATGTAAGAGAGACATCCAGTCAAAAAGATTTGGGAAGTTTCAAAATTTAATATACCCCAGGGAAATAGAAACACAAAGAATGCCAGGGTACATATATTAATATCATATATGGTGGAATACATGGAAAATATCATAAAATGAGAGAGATATATTATGTTAGAGGTATGGTTCAGTGATGAAGACCTTTGTAATAGCTGTATACCAAACAACACAGCATCTACATTTCTTTTTTTCTTTTTAAAATAAGATTTATGTATTTATTTGAAAGTTAGTTACAGAGAGGGAGAAGGAGAGGCAGAGAGAGAGAGAAAGGGGGTGTATCTTCCATCCTCTGGTTTATTCCCCAGATAGCTGCAGTGGCCAGAGCTTCGCCAATGCAAAGCCAGGAGCCTCAAGCTTCTTCTGGGTCTCCCACGTGGGTGCCAGGTCCCAGGAACTCAGGCCATCTTCCTCTGCTGTCCCGGGCCATAGCAGAGAGCTGGATGGGAAGTGGAGCAGCTGGGACTGCAGGTGGCGTCTTTAACCACTCTGCCACAGCATCGGCCTCCACGTTTCTTTTTTCTACTATGTATATCTGTCCATCTCTTTTTTTTTTCTTTTTTTTTTCTCTCTCTCTAACTTCTGTATATAAGAAAGAACATGAAGTATTTGTCTCTGGCTCATTTCACTTAGCATAATTATCTCCAGTTACATCCATTTGAATCCAAATGTCAGGATATTATTCCTTTTGATGACTCAGTGATATTGCATTGTATATGTTTTCCACATTTTCCTTATCGATTCATATAGTGATGGACATCTAGATTGATGATTCCATATCTTTGTCATTGTGCATAGTGCTGCAAAAAATAGGCAAATGTAGGTATCTTTTTTATTTATTTATTTATTTTTTTATTTTTGACAGGCAGAGTGGACAGTGAGAGAGAGAGACAGAGAGAAAGGTCTTCCTTTGCCGTTGGTTCACCCTCCAATGGCCAGCGCGATGCGGCCGGCGCACTGCGCTGATCCGATGGCAGGAGCCAGGAGCCAGGTGCTTTTCCTGGTCTCCCATGGGGTGCAGGGCCCAAGCACTTGGGCCATCCTCCACTGCACTCCCTGGCCACAGCAGAGAGCTGGCCTGGAAGAGGGGCAGCCGGGACAGAATCCGGCGCCCCAACCGGGACTAGAACCCGGTGTGCCGGCGCCGCTAGGCAGAGGATTAGCCTAGTGAGCCGCGGCGCCGGCCTAAATGTAGGTATCTTATATTTCCTTTGGATCTATTCCCAGAAGTGGGCCATATGGTAGATCTATTTTAACTTTTTTAAAAGATTATTTTTTAATTTTAAATTGTTAGGAGGAGATACAGAAAAAGAGAGAGATGTTTTATTTGCTAATTCACTCCCCAGATGGCCACAGTCGCCAGCATTGGGCCAAGCTGAAGCCAGGAAGTTCTTCCTGGTTTA